CTGCTCATCCAGCCTGAGCCCCCTAGGAGACCAGCCTTGGGGCGGGGGTAACCAAGCAGGAAACCTGGATTTTTTTTTTTCCTAGTGTCTCAGGGATCTAGAATACCATAAAGATAGATTGTCCCTGTTTAGCATGAAACCCGGTCCAGAGAAAGAGTCCCCAAGGAAAGATATAGACCCCGACCGGAATACTAGGGTTTTTCTAAAAGATGGTCACTAGACTCCTTCTCTAGGAGTGATAGATAGATACATATTCTCAAAACAAAAACAAATGCACATCATTTTCAGGGAGGAAGGATAATCTCTCACCCAAGGGAGAGCCACACAGAAATGTCTCACTCACGCTCTACTTGGCCAGATATGTAGGCCTTTACAATGAATGGACACACAGCCCTTGAAACTCAAGGAGAGCAGATCATCTAAAGTCCTGAGGTCAGACAGCAGACACAAGCACACAGTCTGAAGAAGCTGGCAAGTTTCTCACCGTCTCCGCTACTCTCTTCACACTACTTTCCACTTTCTCCTCTGCTCAGCCACTCTGCCACAGAGGGCGGAGGTGGGGAGTGACATCTCAGAAAGGGTGGGAGGTGGAGGAATCCTTGCCTTGGATCCCAGGGGACAGATGTCAGAAGGGGACAGCTGGTCTCCTTTGCACCCCATGGCCTAGCTAGAGGGTCAGCAGACACAGTTCTGGCTATGCTGCAAGGCTGGCCACCGTCAGGAGCCCCCAGTCTGACGTCAGTCCCACTCAGAGTTGTTGCTGGGGCTTGAGTCATGCCCTGTGACGCCACTAGGGTCAGCTCTGTAGCAGCTGGAGTGGCCTTCGGGGGCCAGCTTCAGGGCTCAGAACTCCCCCTGGACACACCCCAGGATGAGGTGGGGCCACCCGAGGCCACACTCATCAGGCAACACCAGCTGCCTGCTTCCAAGGACTTGGGTTGGTCTTCAAGGTCTCTTCCCAGACCTTTGCATCATGCACGGCTGATAGCACCCTAGTCAGCAGCCTGGCTGCCTGGCTGCCAGGACACAGGACTCTCACTGAGAAGTCTGAGCTTCTGTCCTTGCTTATCCTGGCTCAGAGCTCCACTCTTAACCCTCAGCAAGCCCTCTCTGCCAGCCTCTTCGTCCCCTTCTCCAGAAAACTCGGTAGCTCCATGGCTTCCTGGCATTCCCCCCTTGATGCCCAGCTGCTCAAGTTGCTACCCTGTGTTCTCTGCCATGGGCTGGCTTTTCTTCTCATGTCTGGTCACTTCCCACCTTTCTGAGAATTCGACTTGTTTTGTTTTGTTTTGAGACAGGGTCTTTCTTGCCATGTGACCCAGGCTGGCCTTGAATTTTTGATCCTCAGACTCCCAAGGGCTGGATTATAGGACTGTACTACAGACCTGGTTTCCTCTTTCCTCTGAGTGTGTCCCTTTTCTTTCCGGACCACTGGTGTCTTCCGAGGATGACAGCAGTAGTTGCCCTCCTTGCTCCTGATGGAATTTTCCCAAAACCACTTATTTTTTTTCTATTCCCATTTTAAAAGACTTATTTATTTTATTTTGCATGCACGAGTATTTTGCTTGTATGCGTGTCTGTACCACCTGATTGTTAAGAGAGGGTGCCAGTGAACAGTTGCGATCTACCATATGGGTGCTGAGAACCAAACTTGGGTCCTGTGCAAGAGCAGAGGCACCTCTTCAGCCTTCAGACCATTTCTTGAGGCTTCTTGGCTAGGTGAGTCTCCTGGCTCACCTCTGTTGTAAGCCTCAGCACTCCCAAAGAGCTGGGATGGTTAATCTGTTCTGTATGGTGTTTCACTGGGCTGATGCTGAGCATTGAGCTGTATTCACAGAACTCTTTTATTATGCTTTTAAAGATTTCTCTCTCTCTCTCTCTTTTTCTTTCTTTTTTTTTTCGAGACAAGGTTTCTCTGTGTAGCCCTGGCCGTCCTGGAACTCACTCTGTAGACCAGGCTGGCCTCGAACTCAGAAATCCACCAGCCTCTGCCTCCCAAGTGCTGGGATTAAAGGCGTGCGCCACCACCACCTGGCCGATTTCTTTCTTTTTATTTTTCTGCATTTAACTATTTTTTGCCTGCAAGTATATATGTGTAGCATCTTCATGCCTGGTACCTAGGGCCCTTGGGGGCCAGAAGAGGCCATTGGATCTGGAGTTGTGAGCTGCTGTGTGGGTGCTCAGAATTGAACTCAGGTCCCCTGAAGGAACAGCCAGTGCTCTTAACCACTGAGCCATCTCTCCAGCTCTTTTTACACTGTTAATTTTGACACATGTTTCTCTAGTTGCTCAGGCTGGCCTTGAACTTACTCTGTATCTCAGGGTGGCTTTGAGCAGTGGAAATTTCAGTCACGAGTCCTGACTAAACAACTGCAACTTGATCTTTAGGGGTCAGGGTGTAGGATCAGAGAACTCATTCCACAGACAACCATTTGTTTGTTTTCATTTATTTTGGCTAAGGCTGGAATAATCAGAGAAAAATGGGACCCAAGGTTTGAGGCACCCTGGAAGGAGTCAGGAAGGTCTGAGGAGCCGAGACCTGACCAGCATGGGAAGCCAGAGAAGTGAAAGGACTTAGCCTCAAAGGCAGGCGGCAGAAGCTACACGGGGAGGACGGACTGTGGAGTAGGGAGTAGAGAGCTGGAAGGAAGACAGGCTAGAGACCCATCCTTCCAGCTCTCAGGGGTGGAGACAGGGGGATCAAGAATCAGAAGCCAGCTCTCTCAAAATCACCAGCACACAACAGCAGCAGCAGCAGCTAGCAACAACAGCAACATCAGCAACAACAGCAACAAAGTAACAACAAAGTGAGTGAAAACATCGAGAGAGCAAGAAGCAAGAGCAGCTACGTGGCCCTGCAAGTGTGTGCCGGGACACAGAACCAGTGGGATACACGGAAACAGATGCACACATGGGACAACATGTTTACTACATGGGATAGTTTACATCATTATAGAGACAGCCCAAGAGCTGGTGTTGGCAATGCGAGAGCCAGGAGAGCTGAGGTTTAGGTTGAATCTGAGTACTTCCGTCTAGAGACTGGAGAAAGGACGGATGCCCTGCCCTGAAGCAGTAAAGGATGTCCCTCACAGGGGACTGAGCCTTTGTGTTCTAGCAGGACGTGTATGTGAGTGGACGGTGCCTACTGCTCTGGGAGGACCATCTATTTCATCGAGTCTACCACTTTCAGTGTCGCTTTCCCCAGAAACACCTTCAGTGTATCATCTGACAAGTGTCTGGGGGTGTTCCAGGCAAGTTGGGGGTGTCACATACAGTTAACCACCACAGTAAGGTACTGCACACCACTGAGCCTCAGTTTCATTATCTGTAACTGGGGCTTCTGAGCAGCGTTTTATCTCATGTGAAAGGCACAGTTGTGAGTAAGTCAGCACTGCTCTGCCTTTGAAGTGCTGGCACGACGGCTACCAAGGCTGAATGATGTCCTTAGGTTAGTGTCAGCAAGGATCTTCAGACAGAGTGTGGGCTCAAGTTGTAGCTTAGTGGGAGAGAATCCACCTAGCATGCACAGGGCCCTAGGTTCGACACCCCATCCCCTTGGTTTTAACCCTCAGGATTCCATAGTGCTCCTTTTGATCAATCAGTAGTATAAACTTTTATCCATTTTAGACTCTGAGTTCAGCAGTGTCCTGTGGCTTGAAACTGACACCGTGGGAAGTTGGCAAACATACCATGAATCAAGGAGGTTCCCTTCTACATAGCAAGTGCTGTACACCTGACACACTCCTTCCTGAGGGTGAGATGTGTTAATGAATGGTAGTGAGTACGGCAGGTTGTCCAGGAGAAGCCAGGCAGATAAGCTCCTGTATCAGTAAAATGCACCGGTTTGAACTCAAGGTTCTGTTATTGACTTAGTGATTTATCTAAGTAAGTGACTTAACTTCTCTTATTGTCAAATTCCCATCCACCTTGTAGGATTGCTAGACAAAAGACATTCACTGCTTTGGGAGATGAAATGTGTTTGGAAACCGAGCGTATTAATGCTCACGTTAAACAACTCAGGAGTGCCCCCTGTTGGAAGTTAGGGATGTGCGTTCTCTTTAGGAGCTAAGAGCAACTGATCAAACCTGTGGGCTCCGGGGCTTATCAATAACATAGACAACTAAAAACGGTCCGAGAAATTATACAGCAGGAACACTTAATCTATATTTATAGGACGCCTTATAGATCACAAAGGTATCTCTTGTGATCCCTCACAGCAGGTCCCTGTTTATAAGGGAATTCGGAAAGGATAAGTAATGTCAGAGGAGCAACCGCGAAATCGTTAAAGACAAGACTGCCATCTGCTCGGTCATGATACATCAGGTAGTGCTTCTGTATGAAGATAACTTAGGGAGATTAAGCTCCCTTTCCAACGTCTTCCTGTGGGTCTGAGCTCAGTGAGCCCGACTGTTGTGCATTTTGGATCAGCACAGATTCGCCATTCGCTCGGCGTCCTGCAGCACACCGGCGTGCGCTCATCTCCGGGCACCTCTTAGATGCTATGGCCTTGATCTTGGGATCCCTGTTGTCTTAAGTTGTCGACACCGAGTCGGGGGTGGGGGGTGGGGTGGGGTGGGTTCCAGGATGGGTCGCAGAAGAGGGCTCTCCGCCGATGACACAGCCCGGCCACCAGGGGCAGCGCAGGGTCCATTTGTCTCCTCTGTCCCTTTCGTCTCGATGGCGGAAGTGAGTTGTCCCAGCCCAAACAATGCTCTCGCTGGTGGGAGTGAATGGACTCGTCCAAACGAGGAGGTGGGTTCTCTCTACGAGTCTAGGGACTGAAGGATAAACAAGAAAAAAACCTAGCACTAAAGTTACATGGCATTATAGGAGAGTATTTAACTCGTGCGAGCTTCCCGATGCCGCCGTTGCAGCGGTGTTGGGCTGGGTCGAATCGAGCCTGGCCAGCACCCCCCATGGGCGCGGTGGTTCCTTCCGGTTCCGCCCTCCGGCCGGGCAAAACTTCCGGTCCGCGCGCCGCTCCGGCGGAGAGAGCACAGGCCTGGACAGGCGGCTGTAGGATCTTGACCCCGTCCTCATATTCTGCGCTGCTGCCCCGAGACGGCGCGAGGTCGCGGGCAGGGACCCTGATGTCCGGTCCGAATTCTCGGTACGGATCCAGGTAGCCTGCTTTTGCTTTTGGTCTGTCCCTGAATACTCGACGTTCGCGCTAGGGAAGAAGAGAACCCGAGGCTGAGTGACTCCTGCTCGGATTTCTACAAGCAAGGTGGGGCATGGGCGTGTCCTGGGTCAGCCTGTTGGGTCGGGGGACCCGAGGGAAATGCAAATATAGTCTCTGTTTAAACTCTGGCTGGGGCTGGAAGGAAGGGTTTGGTCCTGGAATAAAGCTGAAACCGAGAGAAGTTGCTGGTTAGAGGGAGAAGTAGTAGAAAAAGGCTGGACCAGAGCTGGGAATCTCTAGGTGGGAAAATGAAGGATGGAATTAACCAAGAGAACAAATAATAAAGAGTAAGGGAGCCGTCGCTTCCTTGATCCACGAGAAACGAACTCTTGGAAGAACCTGGTACTCCGGGCCGGGGTGCACTGAGGGGTTAACAGGAGCCAGTTTATAGCGACAAATAGGATATGATCTCTCTGCTGCAGGAACAGTGTCTAGTGAGAGAGGCAGAAAACACCCGGTGGGACAGGTGACTGAGCTGATAATGGTCAGGTAAGAGTGGGGAACAAGGCTGATGGCAGAGCGGTCCCCACACTGTTGTCTTGTGCCCAGACTGGAGTGCTACTATTTAAGGGCAGGATACAAAGCCCAGCTCTTGGGAAGCTGAGGTAGAAAATTGCTGCCTCAATCAAGGAGTAGGAGGGCAGCTTGGATTAGATGAAGGGTTGTCTCAAAAATCAAAAACAACCCCCCCCAGCACACTCATAAGGCAGCTAGCAAAACTAAAGCCAGTGAATTGAAACACAAGTCGAGGATTCTTTTGGCAGAAGAAATAGTTGAGCTGTCTAAAGATGAGATGGTGTGTGTTGACGGTGACGAGAAGTCACCAAGAAAATGGCATGTAGAACACACATGGAAGAAATGTCAACTGCTTGCACTCTGGGTTTGTTACCTTCTAAGTTCCTTCCCCACCCTGCCACCTCAGTGGTTCTTTGCATGGTTACCAAGTAGTAACAGTATAATAACAAATATAACATCTAATGCTTAGAGTTTGCTACCTAACAGTTTTTTAAGGGGTATACACATCTAACTCGCTCAGTCTCTGAGGCAGTTAATTGAAGGCGCCATTGCTTTGTTAGGACTAGCTCCCTTTTTATGCGTCCTGGAACTCGGACCCCTCACTCATGCCAGACGACTGCTCTGCCACTGAACTACACCCTCAGCTTGTACAGCTATAGGGCAGAGCTATGCTCACTCTAATCCTGGATGCCTGACGTTTGAGTCATTGCTTTCAACTAGTAGACTGTTTTACATAAAATATTCTAAATCTTTGCTGCAGTCCCAATTTGTAGGTAGAGAACAGGTTTACAAAAGCCGAATGGTTTTCTTAAGGTCTGAGAGAGTCGTAGTTCTTCTGTTCCTGTTGTAAAATACCTGAGATTGCAGGCGGTGGTGGCGCACACCTTTAATCTCAGCACTTGGAAGACAGAGGCACGAAGATCTCTGAGTTCAAGGCCAGCCTGATCTGTGGAGGGAGGTCTAGGAAAGCCAGGGCTACACAGAGAAACCCTGTCTCTAAAATAAAACAAAAGATTGAAACACCCCTACAGGAATGTGTAGTAGGGCCAGGTGGCTCACCCTGTAGTCCCACCTGTCTAGGAGGGACTGGGAAGGAGGTCAGTCTAGGAAACAGAGCTTGTCTGTCTGTCTCTTTCTTTGTTGAGGGGGGTCATGTTTTTAAATCCAAGTGTCTCTATTTTGTCCTGGAACTCACTTTGTAGTCTAGGCTATTCTCGAGCTCACTGAGATCCACCTGCCTCTGCCTCCTGAGCGCTGGGATTAAAGGTGTGCGCCACCACAACCAGCTCAGACTTTTTCTCTTACAAGTGAATAAGAAGCAGGAGCACTGTTGTTAGGTATTGACCTAGGACTGTTGGGTGTGAGCGCTCCCACACTGCATCCCTCACAGCCCCCTGTTGGGTGTGAGCGCTCCCACACTGCATCCCTCACTGCCCCCTGTTGGGTGTGAGTGCTCCCACACTGTATCCCTCACTGCCCCCTGTTGGGTGTGAGCGCTCCCACACTGCATCCCTCACTGCCCCATTGCTAGTTGCACTTCTGCTCATCTTGCTGCCCAGCTTTTCTGTAGTGAATGTATTTTACCATGGAGTCTGGATGGCCCTGCAGTGTGTGTATTATAGGTTTTACAGCCAGCCTTTATAGCTTCCATTGGTTTGTCCGAGTGGTTTGTGACCCCAAAGGAGTCAACAAGAGCTGGCAGAGATCTGATGTTGATGTTGGCACAAGGGTTCTGTAACTTGTTGCCCTTGGGACAGAGTCTACTTGCTTTAACCAGGCTACTAAGGTCCAAGGAAGTGGACTCACTGTGCTCCCACCTCAGGCTCTTGCCGTGTAGGACCCTTTCCTTTCCTGCTACCTGTTGTGGCACAGTGGGTCTTGATTGAGTTGCTGGACTGAACACCGCAGATGAATGCAAGTCTCACCTCACTTGGTATTTGGACTGGAAACCTTGAAGCTCGGCCTCTTGCTGATCCCAAGGGTCTGTGGGTTTCTTATAAAACGTGCTGCCCAAACACAGGGGGGCCAGGAGAGGCAGGGGCTGAGCTCAGTTGAGCAGGAAGTGGACAGGACCATCTAGGTGATCTGACTTGGTTCTTACAGGTTGGCCCCTAGGTGGGGTGAAGCGTCCTGTCTCTCGCCTTTGCTCCGGCTCCGGGTCCGGCTGCAGGATGAACTGTCGATCAGAAGTGCTGGAGGTGTCGGTGGAGGGGCGGCAGGTGGAGGAGGCCACACTGGCCGTGCTGCACACGGTGCTCCTGCACCGCAGCACAGGCAAGTTCCACTACAAGAAGGAGGGGACGTACTCCATCGGCACCGTCGGCATCCAGGATGTAGACTGTGACTTCATTGACTTCACATACGTGCGCGTCTCCTCCGAGGAGCTGGACCGAGCCTTACGCAAGGTTGTTGGAGAATTCAAGGTAGGTGCGTGGCCCAGCCAATGGCAGGTGGGCCTGGAATATGTACTTCTCCACCCTGGTGTGTGCCGGACGGGCTTGCCTTTCCAAAGAGCAGAGTCATTTCTTCAAGGCTCAGAAGGACAGATGTGTTGAGGGAGGGCATGTATACAATTCCTCAGGAGGAAGGACAGGCTGGCTGCCACCTCAGCTTAAGCAGTGAGGTCCCTGCTCCTGTGGTCCTGGCCTCCCTGGCTCCACAGCTGTCTGCGATGGCTTCTCTTACTTCTCATTCTTCCACACATAGTCTGGGCTGATACTGTAAGAGGAGATGTGCTTGGCAGAGTGGTTTTTGTCTGAATGTGAAGTCCCTTTGGGCACTGTGACCCGTGCCTGTGTACACTGTTGTAGGCAGGAAGAGAGGGGTGAGAGACACAGCAGGCCACTCATGTTGGTCACCTCCCTCCGGAGATGGAAATGCCATTGTGGAGTTTTAATTTTTTTTGTTTTTGTTTTTTTTTGGGCAGTGTAGAGAATAATGGTTTCGTTGTGACGTGTTACACATGTTTGTCATTGTACCTTGCCCTTATCCATCCCTCTCTTGATGATCTCCCTCCTTCCCCAGTAGTGCTCATTCATGTCACTCATGTGTGATGCGTTGTTTCTGTTTCTCCCACATTCCCCTATTCCCTCCTCACTGGCGATGAGATTTGTATCTTTGTTGTATAGAGACGTCTAATTTCAAAGTATGGAAGGGAACTCCTCCCCCTTTCTTGCCTTTCTCCCTCCCTCCATTCCTCCATCCCCAGGCACAGTGGCAGGGTTTGCACAGCCCGGTGGATGCTCTCCTAGGCGCCGACATTGAGCTCCTTCACCACTGTCCCGTAAGCTTGGAAAGGGTGAGGTTGTCAGGATCTCCTGGTGACTCTTTTAAGACAGTCGGTGTCTGTCCCTCTGATCTCAGGCAGCCACAGAGAAGAGGACTTAAGAGTTGGAACCTGTGTGCATGGAGGCTAGCCTAGTCTACATAGTTCTAAGACAGCTAGAGCTACATAGTGAGACTGTGCCTCAGAAAAGAAGTGTGTATGGGTGACTGTTAGGTGCTGGAGCCGTCCTTCCCCTCAGTAAGTCTGACCTTGCCAGGAGACATCAGTGAACCTGGAGTGACAGCGACCCCTGCCTCATGGGACCACAAGGGCTTAGTGATCGAGATGTGCCTGGGGGTTGAATGGAGCCTGCTGCCACTGCAGGCCTACGGAGGGATGACTGTACCACCCGAGGTGCCTTTACCTTCTGGTGCTCAGGGTGCCGCCCAGCCCAGCCTGGAACTGCAGCCCACGGGACAGAGATAGTCGGATTATAGATAGTCGGTTCCATGAAGACAACAAGTACAACCCGTGAAGCTGCCGGGTCTGTCTTCCTCACTTTTCCTGCTCCGTCCCTTAGCTGCCTCTTTCCTAACCTGGTCCCTGAGGCTTCACCATCCCTGCTTTTAAAAAGGGACACAGAGCTGGTGCCGGAGACTTGGCTCAGCGGTTAAGAGCACTGGCTGTTCTTGCAGAGGTCCTAAATTCAATTCCCAGGAACCACATGGTGGCTCATGGCCATCTATAATGGAATTCGATGCCTTCTCTGGCATACAAATGCAGATAGAACACTCATACATTAAATGAATAAATCTTTTTAAAAAAATAAAAGCGAGTTTTCTACATCCTGAATTTGTCAGGATGTAGAAAAGCAAGTAGAGTTTATCTGGGGAGGAGATACTGGAGAGTGTTTAGAAGCGATTGTATTTTATTTACATGTATGTGTATGTGTATGTCTGTGTAAGTACGGGTTTGCACATGCCGGTGGAAGCCAGAAGAGGCCGTCAGAGTCTCTGGAGCTGAAATTAGATGTGGTCGTGAATGTTGGAACTCCTCGGGTCCTTTGCAAGGACTTGTAGCCAGTGAGCCCTTTCTGCAGCCCTGGGAAGTGATTTGAAGGTTGGGCGGGGGGGGGGGGGCACGACCCAAGACTGTTGTAGCAGAAAGAGGAGCTCTAAGTGTAAAAGAGGTCCTTAGTGTGACAGAAAAGGCTCTAAGTGTGAAAAAGGAGGCTCTTAGTGTAAAAGAGGAGGCCCTAAGTGTGAAAGAAGAGGTTCTTAGTGTGAAGCTGAATGACAGGCATTGAGATCCGACACTTTGTAAAGTGTCTTTTAAAATGCCTTTATGCATATGTTCATGTAGATGCAGGTACGTTATGCAGGTGGAGTCCAGAAGACGGCCTAGGGTATCATCCTTTGAGACAGTCTCTTACTGGCTCCAAAGCTCACAAATTAGGCTGGACCGGCTGGTTAGCAAGCCCAGACATTGTCCTGCCCTACCTTCCTAGCACTGGGGCTATAAACATCGACACCTCACCCAGCGTCTTTATGTGGGTGGGGATCAGACTCTCAGGCTTGTGGGCAAAGCTCTTTTCCTTACCGAGCCGTCTGCTCACCCGTGTGCTGTCTTCCTCCCTTCTGCGATTGTTCAGAGAAGCCAGTGGGGCTGTTGAAAGTTCTTGACGTAGAGTAGACACCTGTAGATGTGGTCGCCTACTTGAGCTTCCCCAGTCTTTACCTCCCCTGAGCCAGGATTATAGGCATTCACCCTGCCTTAGCTTTCTATTCCTGTGATAAAACATCACAGCCAAGACAAGCATTAAAAAGGCATTTCATTTGGGGCTTACACTGTCAGAGGGTTAGAATCCATGATCCTCATGGCTGGAGCATGGCAGCAAACAGGCACGTCACTGAAACAGTAGCTGAGAACTGACATCAATCCGTGAGCAGGAGACAAAGTGAGCTTTGGAGATCTCAAAGCCTGTTCCTAGTGGCAAACATCTTCCAACAGGGCCACACCTCGTAATCCTTCCCAGACAGTTCTACCAACTGGGGACCAAGCAGTTGAACTTAGAAGCCTCATTCAGACCCACACCTGCCCGTCCTGGGCTCCGCCCGCCCGTCCTGGCCCGCAGGCTTTTAGCTATAGTAATGCAGAATGTACTGAGTCCAGCTTAAAAAGTCTCTGTGGCCTTTCACAGCCTCAGCACAATTTTTTTGTTTTTGTTTTTCAAGATAGTTTCTTGTGTAGCCCTGGCTGCTTGGATCGTACTCTATAGACCAGGCTGGCTTTGAACTGAGAGATCTGTCTACTTCTGTCTCCCAAATGATGGGATTAAAGTTGTCACCACACCTGCATTCAATTTTTATAGTCCAAAGTCTTCTGAAACTCAAGTTAATCTCTTATTTGTAACCCCCTATAAAATAAAACAGCCTATCACATAATTCCAACAACAGTGGCATAGACAACGTTACCATTCCCACAGGAAACACTGGACCAAAGCAGGACTGAAAACCCAGCAGGGCTAACTCCTGGCTGGTGTCAAAGATTATAGATGGCTGTTTGCCTTTAGAAAATCTCCCCCTCAGTGTCAGCATTAAAAATGTGTTTTTGCTGTAGACCTGTGTAGCAGTAGTTATTGTTAATCATATGAAGGTGTCAGTCTTAGGCTGTCTTGTATCTTCTCTGTCAACAAAATTGTTACTTTTAAATCAGGCAGACTCTTGGGACAAGGGTCTTTGTATAAACATCACAGGAACGGCCTCTAGTCCAATTGATAACATTGTTGCCCTCTGAAGCCTCTTGTGGGGGAGAGGCCTCCATAGTCCACATTGTCTGGCACCACTGTGTTCCATTCACCTACTAGGATGGCCCATTGAGCCCCACTTAACAGTGTTCAGTTACTTTCCTAGTCCAAATTCCCTACGTCTGTCCACATTCCCCCAAAGCAGCGTGGTCAGACCTGTCACAGGAGGCACCCACTCCTGGTACCAACTTCTGTCTTATTTTTTTCTTGCTGAGATAAGACACTGTGACCAAGGTAACTAGTCGAAGAATGTATTTGGGCTTACAGTTTGAGAGTATCAATTTGTCGCCATTAGGGCAGGGAGTGCGGCAGCAGGCAAGCAGGAGTGGTACTGAGGCAGTAATTGAGAGCTTACAGCAGGTTGAGACAGAGAGAGCTCACTGGGGATGGCACAAGTCTTTTGAAACCTCAAAGCCCACCGCCAGGGTTGTACCTCCTCCAAGGCTACACCCCCTCCAACCAGGCTACACCCCTCCAACAAGGCCACACCCCTCCAACAAGGCCAAATCCCCTGTCTATTCTAAACACTTCTTTTTTTAAAAAAATTGTTTATTTATTTTATGTACATGAGTCCACTGTAACAAGAAGGAGGCATCAGACCCCATTACAGCTGGTTGTGAGCCACCATGTGGTTGCTGGGAATTGAACTCAGGACCTCTGAAAGAGCAGACAGTGCTCTTAACCGCTGAGCCATCTCTCCAGACCTCCAAATAGTTCTTATGAAAGGTAATTAATTGGTGCAGAAAAACCTGAAACAGGAAACCAGGGACCCATGGCGGTGGTCACAGGAGCATTCACTCATCGAAAGGCTTGTTTTTGTCATTACAGCTTCTTGATGTGTTCCGTGTTTATAGCCGAGCAGAGAAGTCTGGCTCTCGCGCACATCTTCAGGGTTATATAAACATCCAGGGTGGGAGAGCATCTTCTGCCCTGTTTTCTAGAAACCAAGGAAGGCCACAGGCATCCGTGTTCTTCTCACATTTGTTGGCATTCTAGATTCCTTTCTTGAGAAACACACCATCAGATGTTTCCATATCTGTGTCACAGATTCTGTATAGCCTCACATAACCTTTATCCAAACTCCTGTGGTTCCCCCAGTTAGAGACCAAGTATTGGAATGTATGAGCCTGTGGGGACCAATCCCATTCAAACCACAGCATGGCCTCTGGCTATACCACGATCTTCATTTACCACCTGTGAGAGTGTCACGTGTATGCATCAGCCTCTCAGCTCACACTTCTTAGCAGGGATGGAACTAGGCACGGAGGATTAGTGCTTGAACCATTCAGGCTGGCGGTGTTTGATGTCACCATCACAGGTCCTCCTCTAGGTCTCATCTGCCATGTTTAGTGGGCAGGGTGGGTACAGGTGAAAATGAATTCCCGAGGGTGTGGGAATCAGGCCTCTAAGGCCGTGGCCTGCTCATCTCTTGTGTCTTCCCCAGGATGCACTGCGGAACTCAGGTGGTGATGGGCTAGGCCAGATATCCTTGGAGTTCTATCAGAAGAAAAAGTCTCGATGGCCGTTTTCGGATGAGTGCATCCCCTGGGAGGTGTGGACTGTCAAGGTGCATGTGGTGGCCTTGGCCACAGAGCAGGAGCGTCAGATCTGCAGAGAGAAGGTGGGCGAGAAGCTGTGTGAGAAGGTTACCAACATCGTGGAGGTGATGAGCCGGCACGAGTACCTGCCCAAGATGCCCACGCAGTCGGAGGTGGACAACGTGTTTGACACGAGCTTGCGGGACGTGCAGCCCTACCTCTACAAGATCTCCTTTCAGATCACTGAGGCCCTGGGCACCTCAGTCACCACCACCATGCGCAGGCTCATCAAAGACACCCTTGCCCTGTAGGCCTCGCTGGAGCCTTGGCAGCTCCTTAATGGTTCTGGGAGTGTGTTGCTGGAATCTCGGGGCTCTGGAACCTGCACTAGATCCTTGGTGAGACTTGAAGAGAAGCTCTTGGTGTCCTTGTTTCGTGGTTGCCGGCCTCTGGTGACCCTGTCACCGTTGCAGTGGTCTGGTCCTGGATGCAGCACCGGCTTTGGTGGGGTTCACTTTCTACACTGTACGGTACGGCGAGGGGGCTGAATAAAGCTGAGGTGCGAGTTTGTCTCTGTTCTGAAACATGAACACTTTGTGACGTTCTCCTGAGGACACACATGTGTGTTGAGGGCATGATTCCAGGTTTCCAGGAGGCGTGGGTTTACGCAGTTGAAGACAGGTTAAAACTGATGCAGCCTGAGCTCTGTTAGACGTTCATACGCATAGGTATTACCCAGCCAGAGGCGACCCTGACTTGTCCCGTGGATGGACGCAGTGGGTGGTTTGTCTTTATAGAGCACACAGAGAATGGTATAACACGGGTATGTAAAGGGAAGGCAGGTCTTGGGTTTGTGATGTCCTGTGACTCTGCTCTGGTCAGCCTGCCCTCACTGTTCCATGATGCTTGGGATCTCGCTTATTTCTACACAGGCGTACCTAGACAGGAGTGTCTACACAGCCAGATCTACACAGGTGTATCTACTCAGTGCCCACTGCTGTGCTTTGCTCTTTTACTCTGAGGAGGCCTGAGCCCTGCTGACTGAGCTCCTGTGGGGAGGTATGCTGAACTGGCTGGGGCCTGGATGTGGTCCTGGAGCAGGGCAGCTAGAGTTGTGCCTGCATGGCCCTGGCTGGTTTCCTGACAGGTTGTGGATTCTGCTCAGTCTCCAGATGCTCTGCAGGATGACTTCCCAGAGGGCTTCGTGTTGGAGGAGGTGTCCTTACCAGTTTGCCTAGTGTGTTTCTGTCTGGGTGTGTGTTACCTTTTTTTTTGAGGTGTTAGAGGTGACTTTTTGTTTGTTTGTTTGTTTGTTTGTTTTGTCTGTTTTGTTTTTGAGGCAGGGTCTACATAGCCCTGTCCTGGAACTTGCTTTGTAGCCCAGGCTAACCTCAAACTCAGATCTACCTGCCTCTGCCTGGGATTAAAGGTGTGGGTCGCCTTACTAGCTGGCTCTTTGTTCTTTTTGAGTCAGAAGTTTTAAGTAGTCTGAGCTGGCTTCAAATTCATTCTGTAGTCTGACCTTGGGATTCTGTCCTACCTCCGAGAGCTGGGATTACAGGTTGGTGCTACTCTGTCCTGTTTTATGTCAATCTGGGATTTAAAACCTGAAGCTTCCTGTTGGGCAAGTTGCTAGGCAGGCATTCTATCAATTGGTCTGTATTCCAAATCTCCACAGTGGCTTTATATTTGAAAAGGGAACTTAAAATTTGCTAAAGGATCTCCAGGAGACCTGGACAGGCTTCTCTGCCTCCAGATGTCAATGGACTCCACCCCTGGCTATGTGACAGATACCTCGCTGGCAGTGGCTGTCTTGGACACAAGGACAGAAGTGTCCTCTATCTTCTGGAGCATTAGGATTCCCCTGAGGGAGGACAGTGGGCCAGATCTCTGCTCCCTTTAAAAAGTGCTTTTAGTTCATAATATAATTACTGCGTCATTCCTCTCCTTCTCTTCCCCCCTCCAAGCCCTCCCATATGCCCCTCCTTGCTCTCCGCATCTGTGCTGTGTTCTTGGTAAGTAGGATCCCTTGGCCAAGAGGACAGGAGAGGAAAGATGGAGGTACACCTTGGCATCTGGGTACTTCGAGCCATTCTCTCTGCCCTGGGGTCTGGAGGAGTCCTGTGTTCTGCTTGCCTGCCCTGAGGGAAGGGTTCCCACCATTCAGACTGTCCTGTGGCCGAGAAGTGTTGAACTTGTAGTTCAGGAACAGAAAGCTGTCTGTCCTGTGCTTTGCTCAGAGCGGTCTAAGAATCTTAAAAGCTCTGAAAGCTCTGAGGATGCAGGATCTTGGCCCTTTTCTAGAGAGGAAAGCCTTGGAGACTGGCCTTTTGGGCTTACCTGGCAATTTTTGTTTTTTAAATTTATTTATTTTGTGTATGTGGATACACCATCGCTGTCTTCAGATACACCAGAAGAGGGCATCGGATCCCATTACAGATGGTTGTGAGCCACCATGTGGTTGCTGGGAATTGAACTCAGGACCTCTAGAAGAGCAGTCAGTGCTCTTAACCTCTGAGCCACCTCTCCAGTCCTTTACCTGTCAATTTTGAATTACGGGCATGGGGTTGGAGAACAGATAGGCTGGGCCTAAGAATCTAGCCTGTCAGAGTAGGACCTAGAGGCCACTCCGGAGGAGCCTGTCTAGGAGGGGCCAGAGCGTTTGCTCAGCACACAGTTGGATAGAGTGGGAGGCCCTGGGAGGCCCGCCCCTTAGAGACAGCTGACCCAGCCTCAACTCTCAGCGTAGTGTGCACATCTGGGCAGCTGGTGGGGAGCATGAACGGCTCACAGATGGGAGCTGCAGCCAAGGCTGCCTGGCTGAGCTGCTGCAACCAGTCTGGGTTGCCACTCCGACCCCCGGAGGGGCCACGCATGGTGCAGGCAGTAGTGTTAGGCGTCCTGTCGCTTCTGGTGCTCTGTGGGATCCTGTTCCTGGGTGGTGGACTCCTCCTCCGCGCTCAGGGCCTGATAGCCCTGCTGGCTCGAGAAATGCATTCATCCCCTGAGGCTGAGCCTGGTGCCTGTGGAGGAGATGAAGACTCCTAGGTGTCTGTCAGCCCCTTCTGTGCCCTGCAGTCCAGAGCTCATTTCTCTGGGGCACAGCAGAAGGTCCAGCCCACGAGCTCTTGTTTCCTGCACAGGTGAGAACACAGGGAAGAGTGGGGTTGAAGCACCGGGAGAGTGGGGTTGGGACTGGGTGGGGTGGGCATAGTGATGGCCTCTGTTCTCATTGAGTGGACATCACTGGGTGCAGACAGACAGCTGCAAGGCCAGGGTAGAGCTGGAGGTTCCCTGTGCCTCCAAGGCACAGACAACCTTTGAGCCCATGTGCTAAAGGAGGGAGGCCGGAGAGTTCTGTGAATGGAGCTCTTTGGGTACCTATGTTTCCCCATATTCTGCATCTGCCCAGCTCACCTTTCGGTCTGCTGGACTCAGCAGGACCCTCTGTCCTGGTGGCTAATACAATCCAGCCTTAGCTCTCAGCTTGCTGCTGTCTCCTTCCCAAAGCCTTTGTCCACGGAGGGAGTGGGTAGGCTGGGGCCCACCGAGGTGAAGGTAGAGGAGATTCTTCAATCCCACTTGAGGTACCCCTGGTTGTTTGGGTGAACTGTAGGGATAGAAAGATGTGCCAAAGACCCTTCCTCTGACCCCTGCTCATGTGTAGCTCAGCCAGGAGCTTCGCTTGCTGTGTTGGGGGCAGGGATGGCAAGGTTTCTTGGAGGAGTGTATGCGTAGGAAGAAGCGAAGCTGAGTATTCCCAGCTGTGGGGGCTGCGTCTGGGTCTCCTGCCTCCAGCTCTCTAAGGACGGGAACCATCTGGAGAGAAGGATCTGGGTGGCCCAAAGGACAAGGAACTCCAGTCCAAGGCCACCTCCAGCTGAACCGTGAAATGGGGGCGCTTTCACCGTCTCATTGATACTCAGCTGTGTGTAAGGGCTGCTGGGGACTTCTGTGAGTGGCTGTTTCTTGGTGACTCGCAAGGCTCCTACTTTCCAAGAAGACACTGGTACATGATGCCAATGATGATGGCCTGGTGGGGGGCTGAGGGTGTGGGCAGGTGCAGGTAATCTGCCGAGAAGCTGAGGATGTGTGATCCTTGCTTAGCACCTAAGGGTTTGGCACCGGTTCTTGGCCATGTTAGCCTGGAGAGTGACAGATTTCACTTCTGAGATGCCTCCTCCACAGCCTTGGAGTGCACCACTAGGGGCAGGGCAGTGTGTGTGTGTGTGTGTGTGTGTGTGTGGTGTGTGTTGGCATGGGGGTGGTGGGCAGGGCCCAGGGAACTGTCCCCATTCACTTTCCTGGTGTTGGGCACCGGGGAGCTTCTGTTGTATCAGGCTCCTCCCAGCCTGGCGCCTGATATATTCTTCAGTCTTCCACCATGCGCCTTCCCTCTCTCTCCTCAGTGGGATAGAGGGCGTCTAGATTCCTTTGAACCTCTTCATTGACAATCAGGTACACCCAGAGAAACTTTGAGAAAAGGTGAAGCTCAAAGAGACAAACAGGTGACAGACATACTCCGGAGAGCCGCATGGGGTCCCGCGGTAGAAACACAGAGAAGCTTTACACAGCGGGAGGCCCCAGTGACATGAGAAAGTCCAGGGGTTCCAAAGCTTTATTGTTCATGGTGAATGATAGATGGTCTAGGTGTGCAACCCCCCGTCTTCCCCCCCCCCCCGTTTAGGTCGGGGGGAGCTGGCTTAAATAGGGAGGGGGGAAGAGAGGAGGGTCACTTAAATAGCTATGCCTTCTGGCCTTTAGGTAACTCATTAATATGGAAATCTCTTGAGGCTGAAGCCTCACGCCCTCTACCTGTAGCCCCACGTTACTGCAAGGCGCAGATCAAATGGAGATCATAGACCTTGTGCCAGGAGCCTGGGTCCTGGGGGCGTGGCAGAACACCTGCTGTTTCCTTATCAGGGTCGGGGTTCCAGGCCTGTGCCCAGCCAAGAACCAGGCTCCTTTCACGGCCCAACAGTGGCAGAGCTGGAGCTGAACCCGTGGGGCTCACGGTTCTAAGCTTGATCTCCTGGGTTTGCTCTCCCTTCTGCTTTCCTAGCATTCTGAGATGCTGGTTTAAAAAAAAAAAATAGCATGCAGGCTGAGTCAGGGACCGCAACCTTAAGGCTCGCTGTCACTGTCCCCTCTAGTCCCTGCTTCCTCAGTGGGCTTACCAGATTCTGTTTTGCTTCTAAAACAGTCTCCAGATGCCAGGCAGCAGCTAGCAGCTCCTTACTGGCTAGGCCCAGCTTTCCCAGTTTGAATCCGAGGACTAGGGAGGGGCCCAGAGGATTGCTGGAATAGACACAGCTGGGGAAGATCCAGGCCCAAGTCCCTGTGGTGTTAGGGATGTGTGGCAGCAGGAGAGACTGCGTCTCCAGCGTCTTCTTGTCTGCTCACACAGGACTAAGAGAGCTGGGAGAGGGGGAGGCAACAGTTTCTTCATCAAACTTCCTGCCTTTGATGTCCCTTGGGCTCAGTGTTTGGAATGGCTATGTGGTGTTCTGGGGCCTAAGTGTTGGAGGCAGGGAAAATACTCAGAATTTGCTACAGATTTCTGGTCAAAGCTTGGGTGGGGATGAAGGGATTCAGAAAATGGGAGAGGGGATGCTGTGCTCACCTCCTTGAGAGATGTGGGCTGGGGGTTATCTGAGAAGCAGAGAAGACATCTTGGATCCCACTACTCTATTAGCCTGAGCCTGCCTGGCAAAGTCTGGGCAGTGGATGGACTGACGCCCTGCCCTAACCTATCAGCCTGAGGTCAGACAGGACCTATCTGGTCTCCTCAGCCGACTGCTTCCTCCAATCGAGATAGGGGCACCCTGTCTTACAGGTGCTGGACCTCTCCCCTCATCTGCCACCCACCCATACCCCATTTGTGCTGCACATGATTGACTGAAGACATGGGACTATTGACTCCTCATCCTGGGACCCTGGCACTCAGCTGTCCCCAAGCTGCTCCTGACGCTCCTGGGGTGGGTGCAGGAGCCCCATTCTCAGAACAAGTGAGTCTGCTGTATGCCATGGGCACTGGCTTTATACCCCGACTGCGTGGACACTAGTGTGCCCTCTGCAGACATGAGCGCAGCTCTCGTTTTGCCTGATGCAAAGACGGCAGTATCTGACAACCCAGCGACCCATTGCTGCTGAGAACCTGAGAACCTGATGCATCTGGAGAGTGTGTCAGCCATCCGGCAACACACCATCACTTTCCATGGCTTTGCTATTAAATAGGCCAGTAATGCAGTTCTGAGTGTGTGGTCTGTTTCCAGTCCTTGACCCTTGGGATTCTTTTCTCATCTCCCCTCAATTTGGCCTGCTTCTAGTAGATTTTTTTTTTCCATTTAAGAAAGGGTTTACAAGAAGCTGGAGAGATGGTTCAGTGGTTAAGAGCATTGCCTGCTCTTCCAGAGGTCCTGAGTTTGATTCCTAGTAACCACATGGTGGCTCACAACCATCTGCAATGGGATCTGATGTCCTCTTTTGGTGTGTCTGAAGACAGCTACAGTGTACTCATATACATAAAATAAATAATATATATTAATTATATATACATATATATGTACACACACACACACACACACACATATATATATTTATTTATTTTTTTTTAAAGAAAGGGTTTACAATAGCCCAAACCGACCTGAAACTAGTTACATGCTCTAAGATGGACCTGAGCTCATAGTAATCCTCCTGCTGTAGCCTCTCAGGGTTTATAGACAGGGCCTACCACAGCTGGTTTAGAACCAAGGGTGGTTGTGATGTCCACTGGGAGTGATTCTCACTGGTCAGTGTGATCAAGAGCTTGGTTTTATTCAACAAGAGGGGTGTGTATGTTTGTGTGCATGTGTGTGAGTGCGTGTATATGTGTATGAGAGTGTGTACATTCATGTGTGTGC